GGCTCGCCTCCGGCTCCGCCTTCCCCTCGACCCTCTCGGGCCTCGGCTACGCGGGCTGCGGCGGAACATGGTGGCTCCGGCCAAGGGCTCCGAAGCGGAGCTGGCAGCTGCCCTGGCGGACGTGCCCGACCTGTGCCACCTCCTGGAGAACGACCCGTACCTGAAGCCCTTCGCCTCGGACTTCCAGCGCAGGTGGCTGGAACCCGTTTTCATATCCTTATAAAAAACTGGATTATGGAAAATGGGAGCTGTATATCCCACCAAAACAGAATAAATTTGTCATGGTACCGCATGGATCTAAGTTAAAGGTAGTTATTACCAGTAAAAGTGGAGAGATCTTGTACTGTATTTCACCATGGGCGAAGTATGTGGTTCGTGAAGGTAGTAATGTGAATTATGATTGGATACACTGGGATCCCGAACACCCATATAAATTTAAGCATTCCAGACCAAAGAAGCCAAGAAGCCTGAGAATTTATGAATCTCATGTGGGAATTTCTTCCCATGAAGGAAAAATAGCCTCTTACAAACATTTTACATGCAATGTACTACCAAGAATCAAAGACCTTGGATACAACTGCGTTCAGTTGATGGCCGTCATGGAGCATGCTTACTATGCCAGCTTTGGGTACCAAGTCACAAGCTTTTTTGCAGCATCAAGTCGCTATGGAACCCCTGAAGAACTAAAAGAACTTGTTGACACAGCTCTTTCACTGGGTATCACAGTCCTCTTAGATGTGGTGCACAGTCATGCTTCCAAAAATGCAGAGGACAGATTGAATATGTTTGATGGGACCGATTCCTGTTACTTCCATTCTGGTCCTAGAGGGACTCATGAGCTTTGGGATAGTAAACTGTTTGCCTACTCCAGATGGGAAGTTTTAAGGTTCCTCCTGTCAAACATAAGATGGTGGTTAGAAGAATACTGCTTTGATGGATTTCGTTTCGATGGGGTGACATCCATGCTGTATCATCACCACGGAGTAGGTGAGGGTTTTTCAGGTGACTACAATGAATATTTTGGACTCCAAGTAAATGAAGACTCCCTGATTTATCTCATGTTGGCAAATCATTTGATTCACACGCTGTATCCAGATTCCATAACAATAGCAGAGGATGTATCAGGAATGCCAGCTCTTTGTTCTCCGATTTCCCAAGGAGGGGGTGGTTTTGACTATCGATTAGCCATGGCAATTCCAGATAAATGGATCCAGCTACTTAAAGAATTTAAAGATGAAGATTGGAACATGGGCAATGTGGTATATACTCTGACAAATAGACGCCATCTTGAAAAGTGTATTGCTTATGCAGAGAGCCATGACCAGGCGCTGGTTGGTGATAAGACATTGGCATTTTGGCTGATGGATGCTGAAATGTACACAAACATGAGTGTCCTAGCTCCTTTTACTCCAGTTATTGATCGCGGAATACAGCTTCATAAAATGATTCGCCTCATTACTCATGTGCTTGGTGGAGAAGGCTATCTCAATTTCATGGGTAATGAATTTGGGCACCCCGAATGGTTAGACTTCCCAAGAAAAGGAAACGAGAGCTACCATTACACCAGAAGGCAGTTTCATTTAACTGATGATGACCTTCTTTGATATAAACTCCTAAATAACTTTGACAGGGATATGAATAGATTGGAGGAAAGATGCAGCTGGCTATCAGCCCCACAGGCCTATGTAAGTGAAAAACATGAAGACAATAAGATCATCACTTTTGAGAGAGCAAATCTTCTTTTTATTTTCAACTTCCATCCAAGCAAGAGCTTCACTGATTACAGAGTTGGAACAGCATTGCCAGGAAAATTCAAAATTGTGCTAGACTCGGATGCAGCAGAGTACGGAGGTCACCAGAGGCTGGACCACAGTACAGATTTCTTTTCTGAGCCCTTTGAGCATAATGGGCGTCACTATTCTCTTTTGGTGTACATTCCAAGCCGCGTGGCTCTCATCCTGCAGAATGTGGACCTGCCAAGCTGAAGAGAACTGATTTCTCCCCTCTACATGCAGATTGGAGTTTTCTTTGCTGGTTTGAATTGTCACAGAGTTTATAACATGCAAGCAGGTACCTAGCCAAAGTGTCAGACTGAAATTCAACATTGTACATGCAACGGTATCAAGCTTTTCTTTAAGTAGTGAGAATGGTATGTTTAAAATTGGCGCATCTGTTTTCCCAAGCCATCTGAGCAGCTAGCGTTTTCAAATCAAACGTATGTCTTAAAAACATTTATTTTCCTATGTAGTCACTTAATCCTTTTAATTTCAAATTTGAATTATGTGTCATACATAATTATGTCTGTTGAATGTATAGTGCATTTTCAGGGTGGATAGTGGATGGCCTTATTTGTATCTGTTTGTCTAAATTATAAGTTGCCAAATTTCTCTGTTTCATTCAAATTGTGTTTAGAAATATTGTATTAAATATATAGCAGACATAATGTAAAATTTAGAATTGTATCAAAGGTAACAAAGTCTGTGTCTGAACTTATCTATGCTTCGTTTTGCGTTAAGGCTTTATCTTATGATCTTCTCATATACTATTTTGGAAGATGGCAATGTATCAGTTCTCTGAAGACTTGGAGTGGTAATTATAGCATATCAAGCTGTCTTTTGCTTTCAATCAATTAAAAAACAACTTGCAAAAAAAAGAAAAGAAAAGATAAAATCACAACAGATGCTGCAGAAATTCAGAAGATCATGTATGTGTCATGAGAACTTGTATTCTAATAAAACAGAAAAATGCAGAAATAATGGACAGATTCTTAGATCCCTGTGAATTACCAAAGCTGAGTCAAAACATATAATAAATTCTAAATAAACCAGTTTCAGAATGAAATACCTAGGAATCAATCTAACAAAAGAAGTACAAGATCTCTACATTGAAAACTATAGCATTCTGAAAATAGGAGATCATAGGGTATATCAGAAAATGGAAAAATATGCCTTGCTCTTGGGTAGGAAAAAGCAACATAGTAAAAATGACCATACTTCAAAAATTGTTATTCAGATTTAATGCAATCTTGATCAAAATTCTAGCACCATAACTCACAGAGTTAGAGACAGCAATCCCGATTTTCATGTGGAACAAGAAGAGATCTAGAAGAACAAAGGCAATTCTGTTCAACAAAGGCAAAGCAGGGGGTACCACAATCCCTGACTTGAAATAATACTACAAAGCTACTGTGATCAAAACAGCACAGTACTGGCCAAACAAGCAGACCCAAGGATTCATGGAACAGATTATAAGATTCAGAAACAACTCTGAACATACTCAGCCACCTTATCTTTGACAAAGGAGTCAAATATTTTTACTGGAAGAAAGACAGACTCTTTAATAAATGGCACCAAAAAATTGGCTTCCCATGTGCTGAAAATTAAAACTACACCCATGTGTACATGGGTAATGCCACCATGCATTACACTAAAATTGAAATGGATCAAAGATCTAAACATTAAGCAGAAACACTAAATCTGATGGAAGAGAGAATAGGTAGAACTCCTGAAGCTATAGGTGCAGGCCAAGACTTTATGAACAAAATCCCAGTCTCACAGGAACTATCACAAAGAATCAACAATTGGGATCTTATCTTATTAAAAAGCTTCTGCACAGTGAGAGAAATGAACAAAGACACAACCCACACGTGGAAAAAAATTTCCCAACTGTTCCTCAAACAAAGGCCTACTATCTATAACATATAAAGAATTTTTAAAAATCAGAAGCTTCAACTTCAAAGACCCAATCCAAAAATGGGCACTTGAGATGAATAGTCACTTCTCAGATGAAGACATACAAATGGCAAATAAATACATTAAAAAATATTCATCATCACTGGTTACTCGAGAAACACAAAACAATGCTGAGATTCCATCTCACCCCAGAAAAAAAAAATGCTTTTATCAAGAAATCAACCAAGGGCCAGTGAGATAACTCAGTGGATTAAGCACTTGCTTAGGCAAGCGCAGGGTTCAGAGTTTGATCCCTGGCACCACATGCCACACTGGCCCCAGCCCCAGGTGCACTGAACCAACAATGGAGTCTGGGTGTGGTGGTGCACCTGTAATCCCAGCACTAGCAATGCTGAAAACAGGAGGATCACTATGAGCCTGAGCTTTTCAGTGAGACCCTACACAAAAAAAATAAAAAATTAAAATAAAATAATAAAGAAATCACAAATAACAAATGCTGGTGGGGCTGTGGGGAAAGAGGAACCCTTCTTCACTATTGTAGGGAGTCTACACTGGCATAACTACTGTAAAAATCAGTGTGGTGATCCCTCAAAAACATCTGGGTACCATTTGATCCAGTTATTCCGCTACTTACTATCTTCCCAAAATAATAAAAAGCATCATACCACAATGGTATATGTACACCAATATTTATTATAACAGTACAGTTTATAATAACTAAATGTTGAAAACAGTCCAAATTCCCATCAACTGATAAATGGATAAAGAAGATGTGTTTCTTTCATACAATGAAGTACTATTCTACCATAAAGGATACTCTTCAGACGTTTCTGTTTAAATAGATTCACCACAAAACCATAATCCTAAAATGAAACAAATCAGACACACATGTGCAAATACTGACTTGTTTCTGTGGTGTGAGAAACTTAAAGTTCAAATAAGGATCATAACATATGATATATGTTGTGAAATAGCAAGAAAATGTTGAAATAGAAGGGGAAGTAGAGGAGAGGGGAGGAGGAGAAATGAAGGAAAAAGAAAAACAGGAAAAAGAAAAAATGGAAACAATGCTTTTGTAAATAAAAAAGGGAAGAGGGTTTTAAGGAAGGGTAGAAGAATGGAAAAAATAAGTTATATCATGTAAATGTATAAATTCCCTATTATATGATCATTATATATAACTAAAATGTACCAATAAACTTAATTAATCAAAAAAGAAAAATTTATAGTCAAATTTGGAAACATAACTCACAGGAGCACCACTTCCAGAACATGCTTTGGTGCCTTGGCATGATTGTCTAATCTCTCATTTTGTAAATCCTTTGGTATGTCTGTATTTATACTTGTCTGTTCCTTCCCTTTTAGTCTTTATGATGAGCTCCTTCCTTCTTGTTCATTCCTAAAATGTTGACTTCTGTGGACATTCGGTCAGTGGTCCTTTCCTCTTTTCATGTGGCCACTCTAGATAGTTAAAGTTGTTGCATTAGGGTTATTAATTGCCACATGTTTCATGACAAATCCAAACTGTTATTTCAAGAGGGATATCACTTGAAGTTCAGGTGCATATACTGTTTTCAACTTCCTACAGATAACTCCCCTCTGGAAATCTTGTTACTCAGCATATCCAAAATTGAATTCATCATATCCTCATTCAACTAATTCCCTCCTTTGGAAGGAAATAGTTAATCCATTGCTGCCCTCAGCTCATCCAGTAGTCCATGCTTATACTTTTCCCAAACTGGGGAAAATGTCAAGTGACTCTTGAATTCATCCACGCTTGTCTGGCCCATGTATATCACCTAACTTGGCATAGTAATAATTTCGTGTCTTTCTAGAATTCATTTCTCCATACACTGTACCTACTGTGATTTCTCTAGAAAAAAATAAGGAAGGAAGTGATGAGGGAGATGAAAGGAGTGAGGGAAGAAGAAAGGAAGAAAACTTTGATCACTATTGTTCCTCTAAAGTTATTTTTTAAATAGATTTTTCATTGTCTCCAGGTAATTTTGGATTCCCTACACTGGATGCCAAAATTGTGTGCCTTTTCTACAACGCTCATTACTCTCTTAATATACAGTAACACAAAACTACTTTTTAGTTCCTATTCATTTTTAGGCTGTTTTGCTTAGAATATCTTTATCATTCCCTCCATTCCCTTTACCTGGTTCCTTTCTTCTCTGAAGATCTCAGTGTCAAATTTCACCTCTGCTGGTCACCCCTCCACCATTTCTGTGGGGTACATGTTGTGGCACTGAGGGCTCCCTCTGTACTTTCTAGTTTCTCTGTTTGGTTACTTTTCTCTGGTTGTTGAGGCAAAACACCTGACCCTCAAAATTAAAGAAGGGAAGATTCATTTAGCTCACAGTTTGTGATGGTTTCAGTCCATAATCAGTTGGCTCCAAGGCAGAGTGGCACATGGCACAGGGACAACAGTTTATGGTGGCAGAAGACAGCACAAACAACAAGAGCACAGGGAGCAGAGACAAGCCTCCATTCCTCCCTTATATTGTATGCAGGCTACCCATGCACTCCCACACTATTCCTGTGCCCTCCTCTTCCACAAGCAAAGGATAGGTACAAAGTAAGGACCATGGCCCCCCATGCTGAACCACTTAGTTGAACTTTCAAACTCTCAAGTTGACACAATGAACATCCTAGAACAGTAAGAGCATGTTCTTTTCACTCTGGGATGTAGAACTGCTGACTTAGTTAAGCCTCTAGACTCCTTAAGATGACGCATTGAATCAACCATAACACTCTCCCAAGACAGTATAGACAGAAACATTACCTATTTAAAACAAGGACTAATTTTAGTGAACTTAATACATTAGAACATTGGCATGATGATTAATAGTTGAGGTAGTTCTTTGACAAAGAAAATATTTTGTTAGTTCTTAGCTATTAAAACAAAAATCTGCATTCATTTGTCTACCACTTCAAATTAGTACAATAATTAGGAAGAAGCAAGTACAACAGTGAACCAAATTAAACTTTATAGGAAAACTCAAAACAAATTTAGAGTTGGAGACTTGCCACTCTGCAAAGAGATTATTTAAGAAGAATAAGAGACCACAGCATGTGACACCAAGCTGGAGCCAAGTGTTCACAAGGACTTGGGAGAAAATAATGTCAAGTACTTTGTTGGATTCATGCCTATATTGAACTGTTCTGTGGACCCCTTTCATTACCTTCCAAAGTTTTAGAAAACTTTGCTGTAAATATATTTCATAAGTAGCCCCAGTACAGGAGAGGGATAAGGGAAATGAACATAAAAAAGAAGGAAATGGTGTTTCATGCCAAAGTTGATATGAGCAAAGAAAAAATGAGAGGCATAACCATAATTAGGTTCAGAGAAGGGACACTGGCTGCAATACTTCCTAGAAAATAGACTTGTCAACTTCCCCTCACTCCTAAAAGATTTATTAATCATGAAAGTATATCAGACTCCAGACTAAACAGATAGTTCAGTGGTTTAGATACCTGCCTCGCAAGTACAAGGTCCAGAGTTCAATCCCCAGTACTGAAAAAAAAAAATCACACTCCCT